AAGAAGTTCATACTACAGGTCTACTATCCGTAACCAGACAACTGCAAAAGAAGTAGAGTAGGAGTTTCTCTAGAATTTTCTAGACTCTGAAAACCAAACTTAAAATAACAAGTAAGAAATTATAGTCGGGCGAGGCCGACCATATAATACCCTACACCTTTGACAAAAATATAATGTGATTTAGTTGCCATAGGGGCTAGGGTCATATGAGAACCTATTATTATGGAATTCGTGGGGGTCATCAAGTCTTGTATACAACTTGGTTATTGCAGCTTTTCGTCGATATATGAGTATATTAAACATAATTATGAACTTAAAAGCCCTATTCGGCGGGTTCAGTTGTATGGGGGCTAGGTGAAATAATGGACCGATGGTAACCATTTTCAATAGGCTTCGTCTACGGTACCATAAAAGATCATGTGCCAAATTTAATTGAATTATCTCCAAAATTGCGACCTGTAGTTTGATTACAAGTTTTAAAAGCCCTATTCGGGGGTTCAGTTGTATGGGGGCTAGGTGAAATAATGGACCAATGTTAACCATTTTCAATAGGCTTCGTCTACTATATCATAAAAGATCATGTGCCAAATTTCATTGAATTATCTCCAAAATTGCAGCTTTTTGTCGATATATGAGTATATTAAACATAATTATGAACTTAAAAGCCCTATTCGGCGGGTTCAGTTGTATGGGGGCTAGGTGAAATAATGAACCGATGGTAACCATTTTCAATAGGCTTCGTCTACGGTACCATAAAAGATCATGTGCCAAATTTAATTGAATTATCTCCAAAATTGCGACCTGTAGTTTGATTACAAGTTTTAAAAGCCCTATTCGGGGGTTCAGTTGTATGGGGGCTAGGTGAAATAATGGACCAATATTAACCATTTTCAATAGGCTTCGTCTACTATATCATAAAAGATCATGTGCCAAATTTCATTGAATTATCTCCAAAATTGCGACCTGTAGTTTGATTACAAGTTTTAAAAGCCCTATTCGAGGGGTTCAAATGTATGGGAGCTAGGTGAAATAATGGACCGATGTAAACCATTTTCAACAGGCTTCATCTACGGTACCATAAAAGATCATGTGCCAAGTTTCATTGAATTATCTCCAAAATTGCGAGCTGCAGTTTGACTACAAGTTTTAAAAGCCCTATTCGGGTGTTCAGTTGTATGGGGGCTAGGTGAAATAATGGACCGATGGTAACCATTTTCAATAGGCTTCGTCTACGGTACCATAAAAGATCATGTGCCAAATTTAATTGAATTATCTCCAAAATTGCGACCTGTAGTTTGATTACAAGTTTTAAAAGCCCTATTCGGGTGTTCAGTTGTATGGGGGCTAGGTGAAATAATGGACCAATGTTAACCATTTTCAATAGGCTTCGTCTACTATATCATAAAAGATCATGTGCCAAATTTCATTGAATTATCTCCAAAATTGCGACCTGTAGTTTGATTACAAGTTTTAAAAGCCCTATTCGAGGGGTTCAGTTGTATGGGAGCTAGGTGAAATAATGGACCGATGTAAACCATTTTCAACAGGCTTCATCTACGGTACCATAAAAGATCATGTGCCAAATTTCATTGAATTATCTCCAAAATTGCGACCTGTAGTTTGATTACAAGTTTTAAAAGCCCTATTCGAGGGGTTCAGTTGTATGGGGGCTAGGTGAAATAATGGACCGATGTAAACCATTTTCAACAGGCTTCATCTACGGTACCATAAAAGATCATGTGCCAAATTTCATTGAATTATCTCCAAAATTGCGACCTGTAGTTTGATTACAAATTTTAAAAGCCCTATTCGAGGGGTTCAGTTGTTTGGGGGCTAGGTGAAACAATGGACCGATGTTAACCATTTTCAATAGGCTTCGTTTACGATACCATAAAAGATCATGTGCCAAATTTCATTGAATTATCTCCAAAATTGCGACCTGTATTTTGATTACAAGTTTTAAAAGCCCTATTCGAGGGGTTCAGTTGTATGGGGGCTAGGTGAAATAATGGACCGATCTTAACCATTTTCAATAGGCTTCGTCCCTGGGACAATAGAAGATCAAGTACCAAATTTCATTGAATTATCTTCAAAATTGCGACCTGTAGTTTGATTACAAGGTTTACATGGACGGACAGACAGACAGACAGACAGACAGACAGACGGACAGACGGACATAGCTAAATCGACTCAGAAAATGATCCTGAGCCGATTGGTATACTTTAAGGTGGGTATAGGACCAATATTATTGTGCGTTACAAACATCAGCACAAACCCAATATACCCTCCCCACTAAAGTGGTGTAGGGTATAATAAACAATGACGGGAATTTCAAAGACATGAAGCAAGGAGGACAAAGTTCATAAACACGTAAACAGTCACCGTATCAGGCTGTCAATTCTTACCTACTGGTCTACTATCCGTAATCTGGTCGCATTTGCCAGGCAACTGCAGAAGAAGTGGGCTAGGAATTTCTCTAGAATTTTCTGGACTCTGGAAAACAAACTTATAGAAACAAACAGAGAAGGGAATTTCAAAGACATGAATCAAAGAGGAAGCAGTGGGACTCGCAAAAGTGAAAAGTTTCACTAAGAAATGATGAATGATATTCCAACACCGTTCATGAACACAAAACAGAGAAGAAGTTTTGGGAAGCAGTCACAGGCTGTAACTTTATACCCACTGGTTTACTATACGAAATCTGGCCGCATTTTCATACATATGTACCAAACTGCTAAAAGTGAGACTCACAAATGTAAAAAGTTTCTTTAAGAAATCCACAGTCACCGTATCAGGCTATCACTTCATACCTACTAGTTTACTATCCATAATTTGTCCGAATTTACCAGACAACTGCAGAAGAAATGGACTAGGACTTTCTCTAGAATTTTTTGGACTCTGAAAATCAAACTTATAACAAACAGAGAAGGGAATTTCAAAGATATGAAGCAATAAGGAAGTTCCAACAAACTCTCACCGTATTAGGCGCTAGGAGTGGAACTCACAAAATTGAAGTGGACTAGAAGTTTCTCTAGAATTTTCTAGACCAAACTTAAAGCAAATTTTACACAACGAATTTTGAATAACTTTCTAAAACCTTTCAAACACAAACAAAGGAGAAACGTCCCAAAAATTGTCACTATAAGAGGCGCTTTATTACTGATGGTAACTATCCGTAGTATGGATGCATTTCCCAGCAAACATAATTTGTTTTTCTAAGAAAACCCCCAAAGAGAGAAAATTCCAGGAAATAGTCATAGTATATGGAGCTTCATTGTTGCTGGTCAACTATCCGTATTCTCAAAGCATCACCGACATTGATGATGACATTCGAAGTATAAGCCCCGAACTTATTTCCCATGATTGTCAGACATCCTGCAAGGACACGAAGTAGCAAGTAAGTTTCAGGAAACTTAGGTTAGAAACTCGCCTAATTCCTGCCAGTTGTACACTACCAAACACCAAACACAGACTTGATTAGTTTCTCCACGAAAGAAGAGAATTTATCGATTACATTTTCAATGATTTTCCGATATCCTCCAAAGCTTTATTTCCTCTGATATACTATTCGCAGTACGGCTGTATTTGAAAAAATGGCCTGCATAGGCAATGGGACTCGTAGACTTGAAAATTGTCTCCAAGATTTCCTCAATGATATTATGATACCGTTCAAAAACACACATTCGAGGGGAAGTTCCAAGAAAAAGGTAATCTTATGGTATTTAGGCCACATTTCCTCTCAAACATGCAAAAGCATTGTACTCACTGTACTCGCCATCATGATTTGTTTTTTTTTTTTGAACTTATGGACTCTGAATGCCAATATAACGCAACCAAAGGAAAGATAATTTACTGATTGCATTTTCAAAGATTTTTCCATACTCTTCAAAGGCATAAAGCAAGGAGAAAGTTCCAAGATACTGTCTTCGTAAGTGGCACTTTATTCCTGCTAGTCTACTTCGTTCACCTTCCTATAAACGCAGCAGGACTCGCAAACGTGAAAAGTTGCTGTAGAAAGTTGCTGTGATATTCCGACACCGATAAGCAACACAACTACTAAATTCATTCCTGTCGGTGTACTATCCGTACCCGCAAACGTGATTAGTATCTCTAGGTGTTTAGACATTCAGAACAACAAACGTATGTATTCCTACCAAAGAAAAGTTATGAATTTTCGACACCCTTTAAAGACATAAAGCTAGCGAAAACTTCCCAGAAACCGACCGTATTCCGTGGGTCGCGCAAACGTAAAATATTTCTCTGAGATTGCATCAATAAATTCCCAACATCCTCTAAGAAAGCAATGCAAACAGGAAGCTACATATCAAGCACCGTTCACTTAATTTACGCCTGTCTACTACCTCTATTCTAGTCACATTTTCCAGCTGATATACCAAAGCATTGATGACGACGTCTGAAATATAAACCCTAATCGTCGCATAAATTGGAATTTTATGTAACTGCAACTTGATTCTGGAGTCGTGATTAAGGAGTCAATAATTCTATCACTCTACAACACCTTGCGACCAGACTAGAGCAACGTAATTAAGAAACACATAGCTATCAATAAACTTGCAGTTTTCCAACATGGTTTCCTAGGTCAATGCCTCAAATGCTGACATCTAGGGTATGATAACTCTCGTATCTAATTTGCAAGTTGTGCATAATTTTACAATGTTTACTTAATCCGCAAAATATCGTCAAATATATATGCTTTGCAGACTTTGGGTGTGCTGGATTGTCATTCAATTTCACTGACAACCGATGATATTTCATCGACAGTAAGCAATTCTATTGTAATATACATACCTTACTTCTTGTGTTTCAATTTTCTAAATAGCAGTAAGAGAATTCAAAATGTATATGTATGTATATAGGCCATACTGCCCTAATCTAATAAATAATTCTTTAAAAAGCAATAAGTTTCAACTATAAAATTAAAAGTGAAAAAATAGCGAAATTATTTAGTGTATTTCATATAACAGTGTAAACATATTAACAAAATATTCCAAATTTAATAACAATTCCTGAATTCAACAATTATTTCTTTTGTTTTTCATTAGCTTTGAAACCAATAGAAGTTTTAGCACTTGACCAGCGTCGGGTTTTTAACAAATGCTCATCCTTTAAACTTTCCGCTTTAACTCGATCATTATCAGCTTTTATAGGCTTGTAAAAATCCATATAACTTTCTCGTGCTAAACGCCGAATAGTCGGAGGTGTTGAGGGTTTTTCTAAATCGTTGGCTTCATGTATTTTCAAATGAGTATAAACTGGCGTATAAGAAGCTGTTATGTCCAAGTCTATACGTTGTTCTACAGCACTACGTCCCGGTAATTCGAAATGTTTACCCAAAATTGGTTCACGTAATGGTTTGCCAAGCATGCGTAAAGTTTCTTCCTCTAGGGCGGTGTCGTCAGTAATTTCTGGATGTGTTTCATCGTAAACCATTTTAAAAGGTTCCTTTTGCTCGCCAGTAATAACCTTAAATTTGTTAGTAAACTTTAGTTAAACTGTTGAAGAATGTTTTTGTATCAAAAAAAGTACTTTCATAGTTGTAGAACTGGCCACTTTTTTAATATCGGGAGGCATGCGATAACGTGTATTTAATTCTTCTACTGGCTCGAATGACGATAGTTTCATCCAAGGCAATGGTGTACCTAATGTGCCCAAATAACGACCACCTAAAGACCACAAACGACACGAGCAATCATGACTACCTCTAAAATATATTTCATTTTAAAAGTTAGTTTTGAAATCATTGCAAAATTTTATATCTGAACTTACGTTATTAATATTTTTGGCAAATTGATAAAAACAATCGAATTGATGGCTTTATTGTGTCCTTTATAGGAACTAACTAACAAAGGCTCTGGCTGACGACGTACTGCTCTCTTGGCTCTTGTTAGAAATCTGTCATTGCGCAAAAATATGAATTGTAATCGTAGCACGGGCATGCACAATTTAACTTTTTCTTTTTCTGGTACGCTGAAAAAAATATTTGAAATTCCAACAGTGTAACTGTTTAATTTTCATACAAAAAAGTTTTTTTATTTTAGAGAATAGCAAAATATTCCTTTAAGACTCATCGATCATGAGCGGTCTTTTGCTATGTTGGTTACTCTCTAAGAATAACGAAATTTTTTTGAAATCGAGTCTAAAAAAGTCTTAGCTCAGTTAAATCAGTAGCAGGATTTTTATAAGGGAAATAAATAAACTTCCTAGAAGTTATTACAAGGGATCAAATCATTAAGATTTAATGGAAATTATTATTACGCAATTGATAAGTATCTGCTAATTATAATCAACGGCTTTGTAAAGTGTTTGCGCCAAAATTGGAAATCAGGAGAAATCAGATAAAGACAGCACTGTCTAGATTTCTATCTTGTAACTTTTCATAATTACCACAATGTAAGTCAACTTCAACAGGTATTTCCCAATAATAAACTTGCTAAACTATTTGTACCATCATCATCAAACATGTCATTATAATTTGGTTTCATATTTATGATTTTTTTTTTTTTTTTTTGCAAACTTCTTAATAAATAGAGTCAGTCTTGTTTTACAAATGTCTATTTTGTGGTTGATTAAAATTAGTTTTTTTTTTTCTTAGTAAAAAAAAGTTTCTTAAGAAAAATTTCGTTTTACTAACATGCAAACCTCATTTTAATAAGTTTTATGGAAATTCATATTTTTTTCATTTATGTTTAAATGTCGTGACAAAACTCCCTCATAATGATGTATGAGTATTTTATTTTTGATGGAATTAGAAGTTTTGCTTAGGTGCTCTACAACGTATTATTAAGAAAGTAGATTTTTTATAGTTCACATATTTATGAATGTGTCATTCTCTTTCCTGTAAAACGTATCTTTAGGAAAGCTATTTATTCTCTTGAAGAGCTGCCCATTTACTAATCAAGTTAGTTAATTAGTTAGTTAGTTAGTTAGTTAGATAGTTAGTTAGTTAGTTAGTTAGTTAGTTAGTTAGTTAGTTAGTTAGTTAGTTAGTAGTAGTTAGTTAGTTAGTTAGTTTTATTTTTTTTTTTTTTTAGTTTTTTTTTTTTTTTAGTAGTTTAGTTAGTTAGTTAGTAGTTAGTTGTAGTTAGTTTAGTTAGTAGTTAGTTAGAGTTAGTTAGTAGTAGTTAGATAGTTAGTTAGTTAGTTAGTAGTTTTAGTTAGTTAGTTAGTTAGTTAGTTAGAGTTAGTAGTTAGTTAGTTAGTTAGTTAGTTAGTTAGTTAGTAGTTAGTTAGTTAGTTAGTTAGTTAGTTAGTTAGTTAGTTAGTTAGTTAGGTAGTTAGTTAGTTAGTTAGTTAGTTAGTTAGTTAGTTAGTTAGTTATTTAGTAGTTAGTTAGTTAGTAGTTAGTTAGTTAGTAGTTAGTTAGTTAGTTAGTTAGTTAGTTAGTAGTTAGTTAGTTAGTAGTTAGTTAGTTAGTTAGTTAGTTAGTTAGTTAGTTAGTAGTTAGTTAGTTAGTTAGTTAGTTAGTTAGTTAGTTAGTTAGTTAGTAGTTAGTAGTTAGTTAGTTAGTTAGTTAGTTAGTTAGTTAGTTAGTTAGTTAGTTAGTTAGTTAGTTAGTTAGATAGTTAGTTAGTTAGTTAGTTAGTTAGTTAGATAGTTAGTAGTTAGTTTAGTTAGTTAGTTAGTAGGTAGTTAGTTAGTAGTTAGTTAGTTAGTAGTTAGTTAGTTAGTTAGTTAGTAGTTAGTTAGTTAGTAGTAGTTAGTTAGTAGTTAGTTAGTTAGTAGTTAGTTAGTTAGTTAGTAGTTAGTTAGTTAGTTAGTTAGTTAGTAGTAGTTAGTTAGTTAGTTAGTTGTAGTTAGTTAGTTAGTTAGTTAGTTAGTAGTAGTTAGTTAGTTAGTTAGTTAGTTAGTTAGTTAGTTAGTAGTTAGTTAGTGTTAGTTAGTAGTTAGTTAGTTAGTTAGGTAGGTAGTTAGTTAGTTAGTTAGTTAGGTTAGTTAGTAGTTAGTTAGTTAGTTAGTTAGTTAGTAGTTAGTTAGTTAGTAGGTAGTTAGTTAGTTAGTAGTTAGGTAGTTAGTTAGTTAGTTAGTTAGGTAGTTAGTTAGTTAGTTAGTTAGTAGTTAGTAGTTAGTTAGTTTAGTTAGTTAGTTAGTTAGTTAGTTAGTTAGTTAGTTAGTTAGTTAGTTAGTTAGTTAGTAGTTAGTTAGTTAGTTTAGTTAGTTAGTTAGTTAGTTAGTTAGTTAGTTAGTTAGTTAGTTAGTTAGTTAGTTAGTTAGTTAGTTAGTTAGTTAGTTAGTAGTTAGTTAGTTAGTTAGTAGTTAGTTAGTTAGTTAGTAGTTAGTTAGTTAGTTAGTTAGTAGTTAGTTAGTTAGTTAGTTAGTTAGGTAGTTAGTTAGTTAGTTAGTTAGTTAGTAGTAGTTAGTTAGTTAGTTAGTTAGTTAGGTAGTTAGTTAGTTAGTAGTAGTTAGTTAGTTAGTTAGTTAGTTAGTTAGTTAGTTAGTTAGTAGTTAGTAGTTAGTTAGTTAGTTAGTTAGTAGTTAGTTAGTAGTTAGTAGTTAGTTAGTTAGTTAGTTAGTAGTTAGTTAGTTAGTTTAGTAGTTAGTTAGTTAGTTAGTTAGTAGTTAGTTAGTTAGTAGTAGTTAGTTAGTTAGTTAGTAGTTAGTTAGTTAGTAGTTAGTTAGTTAGTTAGTTAGTTAGTTAGTTGTTAGTTAGTTAGTTAGTTAGTTAGTAGTTAGTTAGTTAGTAGTTAGTAGTTAGTTAGTTAGTTAGTTAGTTAGTAGTAGTTAGTTAGTTAGTTAGTAGTTAGTTAGTTAGTTAGTTAGTAGTTAGTTAGTTAGTTAGTTAGTTAGTTAGTTAGTTAGTTAGTTAGTTAGTTAGTTAGTTAGTTAGTTAGTTAGTAGTTAGTTAGTTAGTTAGTTAGTTAGTTAGTTAGTTAGTTAGTTAGTTGTAGTTAGTTAGTTAGTTAGTTAGTTAGTTAGTTAGTTAGTTAGTTAGTTAGTTAGTTAGTTAGTTAGTGAGTTAGTTAGTTAGTCAGTTTTCTATAAAACAACTTACCAAAAGAGTTTTTCGTAATCTGACCAACTTTTCTATAAAAAGATGTTCATAATTTGATTACGTTTTTCTACAGGAAAGTAGTTTCATGATATGGTCAATTATTTCACTAATCAGCTATTCTGTAGAAAAGTTGTTCATATTCGGATTAACTTTCCTAATACAATTTTTTCCTTAATTACATAATCATTTCTATCGAAAATTTTCCATAATGTGAAAAGTCCTTCTAAAATACTTACCAATAATTTTGTATTTGCCAAATTTTCACATAACCCAAAGCAGTGCCAGTAAATAAATATCGATTTTTACGATCAGTAGACATGGCCAAGATGCAATCACCAGTTTTATGAATAGCATTAAATTTATTCAAATAACCACCACGTTGATGATGCGAATACACTTGTATAATACCCGTTTCCAAAGCTACAAAAACACTACCTGCAATATTGGTAAAATAAAATGCATCTTCCTGATATTAATATTAAACCAAATTTTATAATTACCATGCTCCTTTGTCATGGGACGGGTCTGTAGAAATAATACCGCTTGCACCGACATAGGCAATACTTGACCTTCACTCAATATGGGCGTTAAGGTATATCTCTGTCCAACAAAATTTCTCTCTTCATCAGTTAGATCGTCTATTGCAGTCCATTTAGACATTCTCTTGTTTATTTCTCGAATTCTTTCCGAAATAGATTTTCGCACAAAACGTGATACTGATATACTACTAATACGTTGGGCTTCTTTGTTTCGATTTTCCTCGTCGTCAATAGAACTGCGGTTATATTGTAACTCAATGAATTCGGTAGGTTCGGAGACACTATAACGTCTATACGGTTGACCGGTTTCAAGTGTCCAAAATATTAATTCTCCTGAATAGGTTGCGGTAACAACACCTTCGCCCAGTTTAACATCCGCACATGTTATATCGTCCGAATGAAACATGGGCCATTTCTTGGGATCACCATATTCACGACCCTCAACATCGTTAAATTCGGTGACTTGTTTATCCCAGCCAACCGCTAAAATTCTAAATAATTGTTATATTATTAAATAGATCTTATATCTTGATCTTTTATAAATAATCTCAGATTTCAACAACCTTTCAACAACCCAGATTACTGCAGTAACCTCATGTTCCGCCTTTATACTCATATTGCGTATACACACAGCATTATTATAATTCCAAATCTTAAGGGAACCATCACGAGCACCAGTTAGCAAAAACTGTTCCAGAGGATCAAAACAAGCGGCCGTTATTTCTATATCAATATGTTCACCATACAATTGCTTTGTATGACAATTTTTAATGATAATTTTGCGTCTACCAGTCCAGGGATCCCAAACAATAATATAACTGTCCAATCCGCAGGTGACTATATTTCTAAAAAGACGATTATATAAAACCACCGACACAGGAGCAGCATGAGTATTGCCATCTGTCAGATCTACCCTTACGCGTGGATTACATTTAATTGCTATCAGCTTACGACCTCCTACCAAAAGTATCCTTAGGAAGGCATGGTAGTAATATGATAAATCAGTTTCGGCTGGAATAAGTCTTACTAAATCACCATAAGTTTGTAGTAATACGTGTTCGGTAAGATCCCAAACTTTTATGATTTTCTGATAGTCTACGCTATAAACCTTTTTCTCTTCCGGTTGTACAAAGACCATAACAATACCACCATTATGTCCCGTTAATATACCCGAAGGTTCGGCCGATATATAAACATCCCAAATGCGTACAAAAGTATCGGGGCCACCCGTTACCACAATATTATTCTTTTCATCCACAAAGAAAGTGGTAACACCCTGAAATTTTACAAAATTAAAAGAAATTAAAAACACAGTTTTTTTTCAGACGGATCCACTAAGAACAGATTTTTGAAATTTCGAATATTAATATGTACTCAAGATTTTGTTAATTATCCTAACCATTTTTATTAATACAAGAAAAAAATTTAGATACCTTCCACCAAAAAGTTAAAGTTCAAGGTGTTAAAATACTGAATGGCGTTGGAGGCAAGTACTTGCTTCGCTTATGTAAGTATGTACTTAACTCGGTGGCTTGCTAAGAAGGAGTTATGTAAGTATGTAGTTTTGTTTTTAAATACAATATGTAGTTTTGTTTTTAAATACAATACGTCAACTGCGTCTAACAGTTTTCACACAAAAATAAAATGTTTTATTATTTAACGTACACGATGAGAACCTATCTATCTATCTATCTATCTATCTATCTATCTATCTATCTATCTATCTATCTATCTATCTATCTATCTATCTATCTATCTATCTATCTATCTATCTATCTATCTATCTATCTATCTATCTATCTATCTATCTATCTATCTATCTATCTATCTATCTATCTATCTATCTATCTATCTATCTATCTATCTATCTATCTATCTATCTTATCTATCTATCTATCTATCTATCTATCTATCTATCTATCTATTTATCTATCTATCTATCTATCTAGTTATCTATCTATCTATCTATCTATCTATCTATCTATCTATCTATCTATCTATCTATCTATCTATCTATCTATCTATCTATCTATCTATCTATCTATCTATCTATCTATCTATCTATCTATCTATCTATCTATCTATCTATCTATCTATCTATCTATCTATCTATCTATCTATCTATCTATCTATCTATCTATCTATCTATCTATCTATCTATCTATCTATCTATCTATCTATCTATCTATCTATCTATCTATCTATCTATCTATCTATCTATCTATCTTCTATCTATCTATCTATCTATCTATCTATCTATCTATCTATCTATCTATCTATCTATCTTCTATCTTCTATCTATCTATCTATCTATCTATCTATCTATCTATCTATCTATCTACTATCTATCTATCTATCTATTATCTATCTATCTATCTATCTATCTATCTATCTATCTATCTATCTATCTATCTATCTATCTATCTATCTATCTATCTATCTATCTATCTATCTATCTATCTATCTATCTATCTAATATCTATCTATCTATCTATCTATCTATCTATCTATCTATCTATCTATCTTATCTATCTATCTATCTATCTATCTATCTATCTATCTGTCTATCAATAAAATGGCTCTATTTTCAAATGGATTCATTAGCTGTCTGATTTTACTTTTGACATAAATCCTTTACGAATTCAACTCACCAATGGTATACGAATATTGTTTATCATCTCCATTAGCCACTATCAATCCCGGACAACGTCCTCGATACTTTCTCGTATTACGATATTCAGCTGCCCAAAACACCGAATTCAAAACGTAATCGAATAAAATACCTGTTGAATCATTTCATTGTGAATATTCAAATATTCACGCGTATTAAATAAAGGTAATTTGCCCTAAAACATTAAAACCCTATTTTTAGTACAAAATACTTGGCAAACATTGAAGGTAACAGATTTCTACCTTTAAAATATCTGTCCAGAAAACTTCTATCAATGCTGCTCCTGGTTTCGATTGGAAAGGGCCCCTTAAATGTGGTGTAAATTCTAAAATTCGTACGTTTCCACCATAATCACCCAGTATGAGACGTGAGTTGCGTTTGCCTTTTGGATGGAAACTATAGGACATTTGACAGACTGCAAATGGCATGCTACGTATGACTATACGCAAAATAAAAGTGGAAGCTATGGTTTCGTGGAAACGTAACTCTCTCTCAGTAGAGGAAGTGCAAACAATACCAACATCGGATAATGCTTGTATACATAAAATCCATGTGGGCATTTTTAGATGTACTGTAAAGAAAACAATGTGATATTCATCATATTAATTATATTCCTTTAATTTTAACCTACAGCTTTCCGACATGCCACTGCGTAAAGGTTCTAATAGGGGTGTCCAGAAACGTATTTGACCCTCCTTACTAGCTGTTATCCATATTCCGGTATTTTCCGGTGTATCATTTATGGCTAAATTTTGAATTTTACGTTTTTCCTCCTCTGCCTCTTCATCTATTTCCACATCTTCATCTAGTTTTTTCTTTTGCGCTTCTGCCTCTTCGTCGTCATCATCCACCATAAGATCGGAAACATTTTTCAATAGACTTATGCCACATATAGCCGATCTATGTTCAGATTTCTTGACAATAGGAGCTGCTGATATTGGTAAAATCAATGATTCCTTTTGACTTGATGGATCATCTTCTTGAAATCCATAAATGAGATATGAAATAAATTCATTCCAATCACATTTAAAGTCACGATTTTGATTGATTTTCAGAAATAAACGATTATATTCGATATCGGTAAAGATAATATTAAGATTTTCCAGCACCTGACGTAATTCTCCATAAGTTAGTTTTTGTCTATCTTGGAAAATCTTGTGTAAATGTTCGATTTCATGAGATTTCAGCCATTCGTGCAGACGTTCTGGTCTTTCGATTCGTTCGAGTGAACACTGAGAAGATATTGTTTGATATTCAACAAAGGTTTGATCATTTTGTGAACCGGAATATTCAAAATTATTCATTATTGAATTTTAGTAACTTTTGTCAATTGATTGAATAAATCTTTTGTTGTTGAAAATTGGAAAAAAAAATATATAATGCGTTGCACAGTGTAGTTGAAGGAAACAAAAACTAGTCTATAGACAATAGACTAGTATACAGACGACACAATAGACTAGTCTATAGAATATACTATAAACTAGTCTATAGACTAGATAGACAATAAATTAATATATAGACTAGACAGTAAACTAGACTATCCATTATAGACTAGACAATAGAATAGTCTATAGAATAGCCCAAAGATTAATTCAATGGATTAGTCTAGTAAAAAGTTATTAAAACGTCTACTGTCAGTATTTAAATCACAGAGAAAAACTGTTTAAAAAATAATATACTATTTATCCGAAATTCAAAATGAAAGCCCAATAAATTATTCTAAATTTTTATTTACCTTAAAAAACTAAATTTATTTAAAAATTCTATAATAAAGCATTTATATAAAATAAAAAACTTAATTATGTACATTTATATGCAACGAGCTATTAACTCATTGATACCATTACCACGATCACCATATTCACCGCCACGTTTAAAAGGTACCGACACTTTATTTTTCCAACCTTCGCGGGGACTTGATAACTATAAAAAAAGAACACAAATTAAATTATTTTTCTGTAATTTTCAATAGTTTTTCTTTAACTTACCAAAAAGGCACACAAAAATTCTTTGACCGCCTGGAAATTAGGTCCTACTGTAAACAATTCATGTATTATATCTTCCAAACAGATGATGCCCTTTTCACCCAAATTCTCTTCAATCATTGTATTCGACTGAATGGCTGTCTTTTTGCCATTAATGCGGGCGAAACCTTTCTTAAATACCAATTCACGTATGGTACCAATATTGGGATAACCATAGACCACAAAAGGTTCTATCACCTTCAATAGTATTTGATTCTCTTTGTTGTTCTCCAAAAATACCGCATTGTGACGTAGATTTAAATCCAATGTTTTCATAATTTTATTTGTAGTCTCATCGAATATCTTTTTGCCAGCATGTCTCATTACCAACAACAACTTTTGATTAGTCTTTTCGTTATCATTTGTATCCAAAATGTTACCGCGTCTTACGGTTCTCTTGATGCGGTTGGCAGTACGTTCTGCCTTGAGGTAGTTCATAACAAAAGATTCTGCTCTACGGAACTTGTGATGTTGTTTGGCTTTAGCTACGCGTTCAGTTTTAAGCTTTTTTTTTTGTTCGAGCGTTGCCTTGTCCTGTAGAATGCGGCGTTTGCGATGGGTCAAAACTGAGACAGTTTTGCCAGGCAGTTTATTGGGCACGGCATATCTAGAAAAAAAAGCAAAAAATTTTAATATTCATTTGCTATCACGAATTTATATTAAAGTAATTACTTTTCCATATTCTGTGTTATTTATATTAATCGTTTAAAATAGAAAAACTCGAAGAAAATCACTAATTATTTCAAAGTTTTGTAGAGAAAATAAACACGTGCGACTGATTTTTTTTTAATAAACGGCAAATAAAAATACAAAACTCAGAGCTGTATAAAGTAGTAGTAAATAATCATGATGCCATCTAGTAGTAAATAATAGGGTTCTATAAATCGACTTTCGAATAATCAAACTATCGACTTTTTTTACATCTTAATGTTAGCCTAGTTTGATGTTTTCTTTAAATATTGATTTTAATTCTAGGCCGTGTCGGACGAACTTGCTAGTACGTCTTATTTATTTATTTGATATTAATCTCATTCATATAAATACAAGAAAAATATATTAAAAAAGTTAGCACTAGCTTAGAATATGATACTGATATATAAATTATTTCGTTATTTTATGATATCGTTTTCGGTATCATAATTTCCAGTAATGACAATAGCAAAATCTCCATTTAAATTTGGTTTTTGGATTTTTATATAAGTTTGTCATTCCGTTTGTAATTTCTATAATATAATTTTCCGACCCTATAAAGTATATATATTCTGGATCCTTATAGATAGCGGAGTCGATTAAGCCATGTCCGTCTGTCTGTCTGTCTGTTGAAATCAGTTTTTAGAGGACCCCAGATATCGGCGAGATCCGAATCTTCAATAATTCTGTTAGACATGCTTTCGAGAAGATCGCTATTTAAAATCAGCAAAATCGGTCCATAAATGACGGAGATATAAGCAAAAATCCGAGACAACCTCTGAAAATTTCATTAAAATAGACAATTTTTTCATGCTTTGATTAATAAGCAACAACACTGCTTATTCATTGAGTATTTCGTTTCACATGTTTGGATGGCTGTGTGTTTCATTGGCATGTGTATATTGTTTTTGTTTCTTGGTGTATTCAGTTTCGTATGTTTGGATGTCTGTTGGTTTGATTGCGTTGTGTATTTTGTTTTGTTGTTTTTTTTTCGAGTATTTCGTTTCGTATGTTTGGATGGCTGTGTGTTTCATTGCCTTGTGTATATTGTTTTTGTTTCTTGGTGTATTCAGTTTTGTATGTTTGGATGGCTGTGTGTTTCATTGCCTTGTGTATATTGTTTTTGTTTGTTGGTGTACAGTTTCGTCTGTTTGATGTCTGTTGGTTTTACTCGGTAAAGTGTATTTTATTTTTTGAGTGTTTATTTCGTTTAGCGTTGTTGTTGTTCATTTTGTTTTGCTATTGCTATCAGTGTGACCATTTTGGCATTTTTGCAGCTAGATTTAGCATTTTTTATTTTGATTTAGCTGTAAAATTTTAATTTAGCATTTGGCATTTTATTTAGCATTTTTATAAAATATTTTTAGCATTTTTAGTTTTTTTTTGCAATTTTAGTATATAAACAAAAAAAAGACAAATTTTTGCAAAAAAGATTTATATTGGAAATAGGTTTAACCGGAAAAAATCAGAATTAAATGTCTACCCAAACACAAGCAACAAGAAATATGAGAAATGCAATAATTTACACTGTAATTCAAAATAATTGAAAAAGATTCATAAAGATAAATAACTTAAAATTACGCCAATACAAGTGAATACTTTAAAATGCTGTATTCTAAAATATTTTTCTGGAACCCAATGCTTTTTTAAATTCGAGGTGATAGAAATAATTCAAGAGATTTCAAATATTTTTACAAAGACGTTCAGTACGCTATTTTACAAACTAATACTTTTTGTTTGCTCATGGAATGAAACATATAATTTTGGAAAAGGCTATGTATGACGGTTAATTAACAAATTTTATTTTTTCCTATGCGAAATAAAGAGGTTTTAATTTTTATCATCCTTCAGGAGTTCTTGTTAATTTATTGAAAAAAATTAATAACATATAACTTTCTGTTCTTTTTATTTTTACCAAATTTTTAGTAATTTTGTTGTCACGTTTTTTTTTATTAAAAAAAATACATAAATTTCGAAAATATTATTGACAATTTATTCCAGAATTACAAACTTACGGATTTGAATATATCTCTCAATTCATTTCATATATTCTCATATATATTTTTCCGAAAAAATCTTGGAAGTATGAGTTATAAACCTGACATCTATTCACCGAGATTTAAAATTATTTCAACGGAATTTTCAATATTTTTGTGACATGAAAACCATTTTTAAAGTGTTTTGAGGAAGACAAATAAAATTGTTTATATAAAAAAAGTACAACTAGAAATATTATACTTTTCCTTCCGAAAACACATATAGGTTTTATACCATGAGCAACTAGTGTAATTAATAGAGTTTTAATATAATTTTTGCATTCAGAAATATTTCAAAGTTAGAGACATTACATATTGCTAAATTTACAAAAATTTTGAAATAATTTTTAGCATTTCTGTTTATCTTAATACCACGGAACTTAATTTTTTACCCTACTCCACTATACTACGTTTGAGTATACTAATCGGTTAAGAATCATTTTCTGAATCGATTAAGCCATGTAAGTCTGACCGTCTGGTAGAGGTTGAAATTATCAAAACAATAACCACGTATGCTTTTTGATCCAATGACAAAACCTTTTAAAAATGGTTATAGTCCTTTATTTTACCTAGCCCCCATACATATACAAATGTATAAAGCCTTTCTCAGAGAATTAGTTTAAATATATCGGAACCAAGGTTCAATTCAACATAAATGCTTTATTACGAAAAATAAATCAAATTTTATACTCATATGGTCAACCACGGCAGAATATACTTTCTTACTTGTTATAAATTACAATGAATTTCAGTTACAAATTAATATGAACTGTTCATAAAAACACTTAAAAAATTTTAGCATTTTTTTGGCATTTTAAAATCAATTTAGCATTTTTTCTAGCATTATTTTGGATGGGATTTAGCCGCAACATTTTTTGAGACCTGGTCACACTGATTGCTATAATAATGATATAATCGGGAAAATTAAATAGGTACATAAATTTAAATTTTATAAAATTTATATTTTTTAATTACACTATGGTGAAGGGTATATAAGATTCGGCACAGCCGAATATAGCACTCTTACTTGTTTATAATCGTCTACATTAATGTGAAAATATAGATTTTCATTCAATCTGGAACTTGCGTGTTTTATTCTATATTACTAGGTTTATTATTAAAAAAGATTCAAAAAGTACCAAAATAATATAAAATATTCAAACTGTAACGGCAAAAATACCATTTTAGCGGCCTTTTACACTTAACAGCTGATAAATATGTATATGAACGCAAAATAACCTAAGAGCTGACAAACAAACCGCAGAACAACCGCAACAAAAAATATGTTCGGTCGATTTCTCGATAATCAAACAGTCATCGAGCTCTATTTGTACTAGGAATCCAGAAATTAGCACAAGTGGATCCGTCAAAACAATAAGTGGCATCCCAAAAGATGTGTTTAGTAAATAAATACCGCGCAAGACAAAAAAAAAAAACGTAAATAAACAACAAAAAAATACACAAGTAAACAAACTTTATAAATGGAACGTTATTAATAGGGAAGATGTCTAATCCCAGCAAACAAATTTTTCAAATTATTAAACATTACAAATTAATTTCACTTTCTGAAGATGAAATTGTATGGGGTCAACAATGGACTAATGCTCGCCATACTTCATAGTATGTATAATATTTGAATAAATAAAACTAACTTATACGACATTTTATCACCATTGTTACATAATCAACATATTTATAATAGTTTAAACTGTATTCTAAGTGAAATGGCTAAGTGAAATCGGGGACAGATATTAACTATTTTTAAAGCCAAACCTTATCAGAGATTTTCAATAGACAAACAGACATGACTAGATTGTCTTAAAATCTAGTAAAGACTACATTTGTGGGTCAACTACCGATATTTCAATATATTTTGATAGCAACATGGTCCATAGCCTGCATTACATAGGACCATGTATGTATGAGTCGATTATGTATTTCGGCCACTTCAGTTGCGTTGCCAGTAGCCGAAATGATGTGGATACTGGACGTTTTCAAGCAATAGCTTGGAAACTTTGTTCATAATGAATGTTTTTTATTCATTAATAATATTGGTCCAATGTGTTTTTTGTTGACTTGAAGCATTTCTAGATTGACATAATTCTCTTATTATGAAGCTGGCAACGCAACTGAAGTGTGGTTGCCATACATAATCGATCCATTAGTAAGGTAGGATTACTCTGATGTAATGCATGGATGGATTAAGTAGTCCTCACATAGGACATCACAATGTTAATGTAAACACGCATTTGCGGAGAAGTCTCAATTTTTGCAGTGCATTCAGGGCTTATCCATAGTACTGAAACGGCAACTTTAATTTTTTTTACTTGAATTCTAATTAGAGATAAAATGTTGATTGGGTAAAGACAAACAAACAAATTTTCTCTTGTGTGAAAGAACACGAACGAACGAAATGACGAATGAAAAAATTCCATTGGACATTATCGAAATTATTAAAATCGTAATAGGCAGGCACGTCAATGAAATTTTCTACCAGTTCAACATGAAATTTAACAAGAACTAAACTTATTTTGGAAGTTTAATGACACAAATACAAAATAAAACAAAAGTATTCCAAGAGTTTTTGCTAGAGATAAGAGTAAATGAAATCGCTGTATACGATAGAATATACATACATACATGATTGTATACAAATATATGTTCAGAAAAGAGACAACAAAAACAGTATAAAGCAAATCGTTAAACGAACTGAAATAGAGATAGTGTGTTGCATTTCCTTGTATGTACGTCTGCCTGTCTTTGACAAAATAAAATTATACCTTGCTATTTTTTCTGAGCTCCTGATGTATGGGAATCATAATTCAAAATGTTTAGTGATTCTTTTGGGTACACACCACAATAGTATGGTTGTTGTTTGTTGATTTAACGATACTTTTGCAACACTGTTTAGAGACAGAGTGCATTCATGCAGACAACAACAAAATAAGTGATGTTTAAAATAAATAAACATTATTTCAGTTAAATTGTGAAAAAAATATTTTACCAAATAAAATTGCGAAAAAATAATATACCAAACAAAATAAAATTGAAAATAGATAAAAAGAAAAATAGGTAAAAGTAATGGAACGCTAAACGGAATTATTTCATTTATGGATCAAATGCCAATATTAAAATAAACGAGGAATTGAAATAAAACTTTCATTGGCGAGAATGCATGTAATAATTAGCCATCATTTAAATGATGAAAGGGAAAGGGGAAATGATTCCCTTAAAATCTTTCGATGTGTTAAATATGTACAACAGAAACTAGGTTTTCATATTCTGGAGCAATATGACAACTTAATGGAATTTTCAGAGAATTCCTATGTGATCACAGATTTTTGAATACATCAGATTGTAGAGAAGCCGATAATTTAAAGTAATTTGATTTGATATTCGGAGGATAGAAGATTTACTTGGCTGATCCCTAGGATATATCGCCACCAACAATTTGATCAGAAGCCTCCTCCAAAACCTTACTTCGACCTATACCGTCGTATAGGAAGCAGAGATCCTGGATTCCTCCCCCGTGTTAAACGATGAGATTTGTTTGGTACCCCACCACTGCGCAATATATATTTTTTTTAATTATCAAATGTTCATTTTATATTCCAATATAACCTCAAAACGAAAGCACGCGGTTAATGTAGACAACGCATAACTTTAAACAGTTATACGAAGTAATACACTACACCGGTGCGAGCGAGATGCAAAACTGTCGAAAGCCAGGCAACAAAAACAAGCCTGATCGCGCTTAAAAAATAATCACGATGACGCGAGAGTTCCCCAAATCAGACCTGAATTACGACTCAATTTAAAGTAATTGTGAAACGGAGAAAAACTGAAACTACCGAATAAACATGGACCAATGCAAGGTAGAAGACATTATAAAAGCGGATAGGAATAAATTACTTATGCCCACTCATTTATGGATCAAATGGAGCGAAGAGGTTAGGTGGCTTCCGGTAATAGTGTTCTAGTTTGTCAGATCGGAGGTCGTGAGTTCGATTTTCACCCGAGGCACTAGAAAAGGAGCGCTAAAAAGTTCCGATGGAACTTTTTTTCGGATTTGATTTTCCTTTCTAAATAACCGAATGTGCAAGATGGAACACTTTACAAAATTATTAATTATTTATTCAAAATTTTGTATTAATACCGATATTCTAGAAGGAGTTTTTAACAATAAAACCATTTTCCGGGAGTATGTACATTCGTTTGGGGACTATATGAAATTTTGAACAGATTCTGTGTTAATCTCTGGATGGAAAAAAGTTTTGTGACAAATTTTGTGGTATGGTTTTTAAAAATCAAGAATGGGAAAAAACTTAATCTTTTCAAGGGTTGTTTCGGAATTTCGCTCAAATCTCTATTATAAACCAAACTTGCTAATTTTAAATAAGAAACTTCTCGAAAGAAAGTCTAATATAATAATTGAAAATTTGGGTCCCATAGATATATGGGGTCTTAATTAAATCCTTTTTAAGAAATATTTACATTTTCAAAGCATAATTTAAAAAGATCAAAGACCCCAAAACCACAGAAAGGGTTAAATCGGTTACAAAAACCGGCTGATCTTGGTACCGATTGTAATCGTAAGTATAAATAAACAAATAATTTGTTATTCATTTTATCAGGTGCTTTAAGGAGACTTGACGTAAGTTTTATTTGTAATATTTTTTATGCCATAATATTTTAGTTTTTTGTTGGTTCAAATAGCTTAAATGTCATTAAACAACAAGCCAATTATTGCCTGGAACTGGTGTAGCACACAACAGGAAATTTTAAAAATATGTTTCACTTGGACTATAAGTAATTTTGGTTCATGTAACCAATTAAGAGATGAATGGAAATCACCAACATTTTCATCTGCTGTTAATGGCAAATACAAATGCTGTTTACTTATTAAACGAGATAAGGAGTTTTTCCAATTTTATTTATTATTTTTAGATCCCATCGAAAATTTGATTCAAAAGTTCAAATATAGAATATATTTGTCAAAAGCAAATAAAGAAAACCCAAGTGTCTATGAGAATGTTGTGTCCGTAGGGAAGAATGATGTATATCATGTAATTTCCCTACGAAATTCTCATATACTCGATAAAACTAAAAGTCTATTACCCGAAGACAATTTGAAAATACACTGTGAAATAACCTTCTCAGAAAAAGTGGTTAATATTTCGCGTCAATCTATTTCCTCTCCCAAATGTGCATTAACTAAAGATTTCGGTAATCTCTTGCAAAATGGAATTTTCGCAGATGTCACATTAGTTGTGGACGATAAAGAATTTCACGTACATAAAGCTATATTGGCTGCTCGAAGTCCGGTGTTTGCTGCCATGTTTGAGCATGAAATGAAGGAACAAACATTGAATCGTGTTGAAATAACCGATATTGATGGGGATATTTTGCAGGAAATGTTACGTTTTATTTATACTGGCAAAGTGATAAATATTGCTGAAATAGCCAAGTTTCTTTTACCAGCTGCCGATAAATACGCTATAGAATCGTTAAAAAAATTCTGTGAGGTCATGCTAAACGATAAAATATCCATTGAAACTGCTGTTGAAACTTTAATATTAGCTGATCGTCATAGTGCTCAGGAACTAAAGATAAACGCTATAGCATTTATAAATTCTAACGCTACTGAAGTTATGAAAACTCAAGATTGGGAAAATATGATAAAAACACATTCATATTTAATTGCTGAGACGTATCAGGCATTTGCAGAGAAACAGTATTTAGCGCTTGCGCCTAAAATCTAAAAAAAAAATAGGAATGAAATTAAACTTAATTATATTTATTATTACGTCTAAGAGCTAAAAACTATTAAAACTTATCAAAAATATATAGCTTATATACTATAAGACTCGAATAATTCAAAATTCGTGTTTACTAAATTCGGAGTACCTACTAAAATAGGATCCGTTTTGAAATCATTTAAAAAGTTTTATTTTTCGGTTTTATGTTCTGTTAATAATTTTAAAATTTATTTCAGAAATAATTTGTTATAAAACCGCTATTCTCGTAACGTCGTTTATTTATGGATTATGTCAGCTTTGTAGTAAATGTACAAATAAATGTACAATAAAAGATGAATTTTTGAAAAATTTGATTTTTAAAGGTTTTTAGTAAGTATTTAGCTATCGTAATGCAGGCTACTAGGTAGATATATGTAGGTCTATATTTTGGCTATAACCCTAGATTACATCCTCCTTTTAAAATAACTAACTAGAAACGCAAAAATCCTAATACATATTACACCGTTTCAAATTGTATTTAAGAATGTTTTTTTTCGAAGATATCTGGCAACTCCGTAAAAACGAAAACAAATAAGCTTAATTAAGGTGACCATTTCTTTTTAATTTTATCCACCCCATTTTTTGCTCTTATTATTTTGTTTTTCATTTGTTTTTGTATTTACATTTTATGCCAAGCAACCGAACAGCAGTTACTAAACAAATGCCGGGTTGTTAATATCGTCGTACGTTCTGTAAAATACTTTTTTACACGTGTCAAATTTACAAGTTTTATTGTAAATAACAAAGAATAATAGTTATAAAATAACACGAAGTTCATAGTTTATTTATTTTTATTATAACTGTAATAAGATTTTGTTTATTAAAATATTTGCAGTTTTATTGATAAATTTGTGTTTTAGTTATTGGTGTATAAAATTTAGATGTGTGTATAAAATACAAATGCAATGTTATCCAAAGTTTTTACTAAAATGGATGACGAAATATTGGAAATTTATTGGAAGAAATTTCATTAACATTTGTTGTCGCTTAACATTCTCGTTTAGAACCAATGTTTTAAACATGTTAGTTTTAAAAAGCACTAAATTGAAGAACAAATAATTTTTGTAAAAAATCACACATTTCATAGAAATAGTTTATACTGAGTTTCAATATTTTTGAAAATTGCTTATAATACCGGTACATTTAACTCACTGATATTCAAAACTTTGAACACCTTACCGACTCTAAACGGCTCCAATTTTATTTTTTTCCATTGATACTACTTTTAATACTAAATCTAACAATACCATTTTTTTGTTTGCTCTTTTATAGTTATGGAGTTATAGACGTTCAAAAACGTTATATATAAAGTTAAAAATATCGGGAATGGCTTGCTCGATTGTAAACAAATTAAAATAATATGAAAGCATATCAAATGATGTGCAATATTATGTGTGATTATCACATAGAAAACAAAATGAGCTTTCATTTTCGGCATTTAAAGGGTTATAGCCCTTTAAATGCCGAAAATATATGTAGTAGGATTCTATAGTTTTTAGGTTAAAGTCGACTTTTCGACTTTTTGCATTTTATGAAAAGTCGGTTTTTCGACTTTTTTCATTTAATTAAAAGTCTACTTTTTGACTTTTAGTATTTTATAAATAGTCGACTTTTCCCGACTTTTCGATTTTTTTCGACTTTTTGACTATTTTCGACTATTTTTTGACTTTGTTCGAGTTTTTCCGACTATTTTAGAGTTCTTGACTTTTTGTCCACTTTTTTAAAATTTTCGACTATTTTTGACTTTTTTCTACTATTTTCGAGTTTTCGACTTTTTCCAACTTTTTTCGACTTTTTACGACTTTTCGACTTATCGACTTTCCGACTTTTATTTACAAAGTCGACTTTTCGACTTTTTTCATAGCGACTTTCCGATATTTTTCGACAAAAAGTCGATTATTCGAAAGTCGATTTATAGAACCCTAATATGTAGTTAAATGTAATTATATTTAAAAAAATCTAGTCATAACTTATCGACTCTAAACGGCTGAGATCTCGATAATATTGTAGCAATTTTAATTTTAAATTGTTTGTGTAAAAATTGTTTCCTGCTCCCATTTGGTTTAGGAGTTGCAGACATGTATAATATAACCCCTTACATTAACCCATTGAGTACCACCTTGAAAAAATTTGATTTTTATTTACAATTATGCAAATTTAAGAATTTCTCTTTAATGAAAGCAACATATAATCTGGAAAATCGAATAGGAGATAGAATTAGCTTTCATTTGATGTACATTGCAAATTCCTAGCCAATTGTTTTAACACGGTGATGACATTGGAAGCCAGTACTTACCACGCTCGCTTACAAATCACTACTTAAATAAGTACTTACAAATAAGGAGTTAAAAAGTTGTTTTGTTTTAAAAACAATTGATCACACAGACTACGAACCTGGGATTCTTGTTCGTTAGTTCGCTGTCTTACAACACCACTGTTTAGTTATTTTATTGAGCGTCTAATAGTGGTTTTTACAGAAAAGCTAAGAATTCTGTGTGTGTGAAAAACAGTTGCTAACGCTCGACCTGTATTAAGGTCCCATCTATTAATCCATTGAGACAAATTCATTTTCACTAAAATGGCGACATTTTCCCTTAATTAAAATGTTTAATAGTAAATTTAAAATACTAGTTTAGATTAAAATGTGAATTTAATCTAAAAAGCTCGTAACAAATATTGGCATAAACCAAGACGAAAAAAAATAAACAGTTTTATAACTTTCGCATTTTTAAAAATAATTTAACACGATTTTCTATTGTACAAAAGTTCGTGTTTATTGGAAATATTTGAAATCGATCCATTATTTCATTTATTCATACACAAAATTTCATTTAAATTATATTTCAATCAAAATCTAGTTTATAAGTAAATTTCTCACACAAAACAAAATCTATTTTATAATGAGATTTCATCAAAATTCATATTTTCATATTTGTCACATTAAGTTTGACTAAATTTATGTACTAAAGTAGATATTTTTTAAGGAGATTGATCTAAAATTATTCCTGATCAGAAGTTAGCTATTGTCAATATAAATTATAAACTTAAATGAATTTAACAGCTAAATTGATTACATAGAATAAGCGTGCAAAATGTTGTTATTAAAAAAGCACGTTTTGACTGGAATGAAAACATTTCCAGAGAGCATTGAGAGCTTATAGCTTGATTACAATTGGAACCGCTGCCGACAAACTGAACATATATACACAAAGTATACCCAGTGATATATATCTCGACCACAATGTCGCCAACCGCAAAACAATATTTTGCTCTCCATTCAAAATGTATGAAATTTCATTGTGGCCAGCAGTTGTGGTTCCAATTGTAATCAAGCTATTATAGGGTTTGCGTGTACATAATATATTAAGCAATATTTTAATATTAAAATAGGAATTAGTTATTTTGTAAATCCTTTCTATTCAAAAATATACAACGGATTTGGAAATAGTTTTCTAAAAATCAGTTTTTATCCATATTTGACCCCTTTTAACAACGTGGAGACATATTTGTTATGTAATCTGTAAGTCCAATATGTTGTCTTTACAATAAAGACTTAACCTCTTTTATATCTTCTTCGAGATATCTTAACCTAAACCTCGAAACATATATCAATTTAAAAATATATGCAAAAACTTCAAAGGACGATATCTCTCTTAGTAAATACCAGAGATTTTGAAACAATTCAACAATTCAAGTACTTTTATAGGCAAAATTATTAGAAATTGTGACGTATAAGTTTGTCGTAAAGTCGGAGAATGAAGCAGATATAACTGAGTTTAAATATGCTATTTTAAAGACTCTTAAATGTTATAGAAACAAAGATATCTTTGCACTGTTAAAACAAATCTAATGTGAACAAAACACGAGGGTTTCAATCGTAATAAGAATATAGGTTAGGTTATATCGTTAGCTTGTGATTCAGTTGGAGCACTCAGTAATTTCTTGTAATTGAGAATACATTTCGATCTTATCACGTTCGTGGCGGGAGTCTTTAGATTTTACTGGTTCGCATCTTGAGAATTAAAGTGAAATTACAAAAATATATATATATATATTCCTAAAAATTTTGCTTTTATTGATTCTTTGAATGATCACCCTAATATTTCTTAAACTTATCTTTCTCTAAATTGTTTGTTCCAAACTTACTTGGTGTGTATCTATCTTCTCATGTTTTCACACAAAAATAACACAAGTTTATTTTTACTTTTTCAATTTAGTTTATGTTTAGTTCTCGTCGAAGTTACTTAAAATAACGGAAGAATTTTGCAAAAATAATAATAAAAAGAAACATCGCTACGTCTACAAAAATTTAAAAAAAAAACTTCTAATTAACTGACAACTAAATATACAAATAATTATGCTTGTGGAATAAAATAGTTTATTGTTTATACCTAAATGTTTATAAACAATATTAGTTTAGTGTTATTAAAACAACAATTGTGTAAACAACATTTTATATTTAAATGTTAAAAAAAGTGTAATCAGAGAAATCAGTGTTTAATAAACATAATCATCATCATCCCTTATCAGTATTTAATATTGAAATATCTGTAATAAAATAAAAACAATAACAAAACAGTTATGTCTGAACGTTATGGTAGCAATGTTACAACAAATTTAGTCGAATTAACAGATCGTAATAAAGCAACAACAACCACTAATGACAATGTCAATGATGCAACAACCACAGATTTGGCTGCTGAGGAGCATGCACCGCTGGAAGGTGCTGGTGCTGATGAAAAAATCGTACTTAAACGTAAATTAACATTAATGAATGGTGTCGCAATAATTGTGGGCACCATTATCGGTTCTGGCATATTTATAGCGCCAACTGGAGTTTTTCAAAATACTGAGTAAGTAATGAAAGTAGAAAAGAAACCTTAGAAATACCTACATAAAGTACTATAACCTTTATATTAAACTCTACTATGGGTTTTTATAAACACCATTATATTGATTTTGTCATACCGTTTGTAACATATCGAAATATTGGTCGTAGAACCTCAAAAGTATACACATTCTGGATTCTTATTAGATTCTTAGGCCTTTTGCTTGTTTAAAACACTAGAACAGTTTGTTTAGTACTGAAAAAGACAAAATCGATCCACATTTGAGCCAATATAATGTCCACTTCAGAATATGACAATATTGTCTACAACTGACATAAAAATACAAGTGGAATGATCCAATTTCATTCATAATTGACGGATGTAACACTATATATGTGGATGTAAATGGTCGACGTCTCTAGAATCCCTTCTTGGTTGTTTCCAGATGGTGAAAAACACTACTGGACTGCAAACACTACTCTTCTTTCCAAAGTATATGAACTTTTATAGTTCAACTTTTAACTTATATTTGGTCTACTTACTCTTTGTTCGATGGTTTCATGACCGATACGATCAGTTCGTTTAGTATAGAAAACGGTCCACATTTGACCCCATATAAGGTACACTTCGGAATATGGCTTTAATATATATAACAGACTTCAAAATACATATGAATCATGGAATTTGATTGATAATTGACGAAAAATCTATAAAAGGCCCTTAGAAAGCTCGACACTTGGAGGAAGCCTCTCTCCACAAGAGAGTAAAGTTTTCGGCTATAAGAAGAGTAGTAACATGGATATGGTATTACAGAATATTCAATAGATTTACTCGAATATTTATCGACAGTCAAGCTGCAATCAAAACCCTAAGAGATGTGTACATCACCTTAATAGTTCCTGGAAAGCCGGACATCCTTAAACAGGAAGTTTTCATGGTAGTATGGCAATACCTTTCTTTTTTGTCTGATTCTCTGGATTTTCGGAGTAGAAAAGTGTAATGTTGTCAGGGATGCTATAGTCACCTGATTCTGTATATCTAGTTTCGCGCTAACCTAACAGAAGAAGCCTATATTCCGTGGATACCCTGCCTAGTTCATTTCATAGTAAATTCCGTATTCCTATTTGCTTTATTCTTTTCATCCTAATGATCTTCATCATTTCTACTGCTCGTTGAGATTTCCATAATAATACACTTTAGGATGGATAACAGCTTGCGACTTTGCATTCGATCCTAGTGTTGTGGCTGTCTATAACGTCTAGACAGGATAAAGTTGCATTGAGACTAACAGATGGCATATCTTTATGATATTTCCAGGAAATATTTGATCTATAGTCACTGCTGGTTAGTTCTACTTCTGGCTAATCTCCAATAGTAATCGCTGCTGGATACTATCAGGGAATACTTCATCTAAAGTCGAAAATATTGATATTCATGGAAATTTCAGTATACCTATCACTGCTGTCTATTCCTACTTTGACTAATCCACAATATTAATCACTCCTGTAGATTCAAACTTCTGGCTAAATCCGAATAGGAACAAGACAGGCCCTAACCCGAAAATTAAAATATTTTGGGAAAATTTCCTATTCTCTGGGTTATTTCGTTAATGATACGCGAACGTAAAAACATAGGTGGATCATGTAAGTTCTGTGTCCTCAATTTTAACAATAGGTGTACAAATTCGATTAAGCAATTCAATGATGTATTGGTTCATTCGCCTCATTATTAATTAATATGCATACGATCTACGTGGTTGTAAATTAATAATATCAATGGTAATTACAAATTTGATAAATTTATTTTAAACGACTTGTTAAGACAAGTTTATTAAGCATTAAAAAAAACTTCACCAAATTTCCCCATAGTCAGATTATTTATGTAAGCTATAAATAATAACTTACAATTAAAGTTTTAAATATTAATAAATTATTTTCAATGCTCTTAAGTAAAAATATTCATGCAATGTATGAAAATAGCACTGGACAACAGCATTTTCCCCATACAATCTCGAATATGCAATTGAGTTATGACTAAATATCCTAATTACTAAAGTCTTTATAACCTGTTTCAATATTCATCACAATTTTTGTAATTAAATCAAATTTTTGATTGAAGTCCGCAAAAATGCCATTTAATGACTAGATTATAGACCAGACTATAGACTAGACTATAGACTAGACTATAGACTAGACTATAGACTAGACTATAGACTCGACTATAGACTCGACTATAGACTAGACTATAGGCTAGACTATAGACTGGACTATAGACTCGATTATAGACTAGACTATAGACAGGACTATAGACTAGACTATAGACTAGACTATAGACTAGACTATAGACTAGACTATAGACTAGACTATAGACTAGACTATAGACTAGACTATAGACTAGACTATAGACTAGACTATAGACTAGACTATAGACTAGACTATAGACTAGACTATAGACTAGACTATAGACTAGACTATAGACTAGACTATAGACTAGACTATAGACTAGACTATAGACTAGACTATAGACTAGGCTATAGACTAGACTATAGACTAGACTATAGACTAGACTATAGACTAGATTATAGACTAGACTATAGACTAGACTATAGACTAGACTATAGACTAGACTATAGACTAGACTATAGACTAGACTATAGACTAGACTGTAGACTAGACTATAGACTAGACTATAGACTAGACTATAGACTAGACTATAGACTAGACTATAGACTAGACTAGACTATAGATCCCAGTAGGTTATCATAATATTGTCCCCTCGTTAACATATCATAGTTCCCCCAACTATATAATATAATTCCTACAATTATATTATGATTAAAATTTTATAAAATATTTTATCATAAAATTATCACTACAACTATAATATTTTTTTTATTTTACCATAATATGATACTTCGAATGGCTATAAATTTTCTATTTTTATTTAAATAGTATATAGTAATAGTATTTTAATAGTAAACCAAGGGCTATTTTTTGGTACTTTTTCGTTCTTTACTTGGTATTCTTTGAGTTTTCAATATTATAGAACCTAAAACATGAAATTAAATATGATATGAGGGGACTTTTTGGGTTTTTCAAAGGGTATTTTTGAATTTTCTATGATATTGAATCTAGAAACATAAAATTAAACATTTAGAGTCCAGAGCGAATGAAAAGCTTTACAAAAGGATTTTTGGTACTTTTTCGTTTTCAACTGGTACTTTTTGAATCTTCTATAAATAGGGAATAATTTCTGGAGCTTTTTTGTTATTCAATTGGTACTTTTTTGAATTTCTAATTAATTGATCCTAGAAACATAAAATCAGACATTTTTTTGGTACTTTTTTCTATTTGGTACTTTTTGAAGAGGAGTTTCTGGTATTTTTTTTGATTTTCTGACTTAGACCTGGTTCACACTAGGAAACTTTTGTTGAGAAACTTTTTCTTAATTCTCTTTTGAAGTTTCCTTAATGTCCACACATGAAAACTTTTGTTTCAGAAATTACGTATTAATTGCATTGATTTGTTGTACGAATGAGAAGAATAATAAAACAAAACAAGTTTCCGAGTACGGGAAACTCCGTACCGCGAGAGAGATGAATGATATTCTTTCTCTCTCACGCAAAATCAAAAGTTTCCCAAAAAAAGTTTCCTACTGTGGACCGGAAGTTATTGAACACAGAAACATAAAGTCATCATCCTGATGGAATGAAAATTTCTTCAACTGATACATCTTGAAAAATGGTTTTAATATTAGACCTAGAAACATATTATTAAGCACGCAGCGTCTATATAAATCTATAAAAATGGACTTTCTGGTCCAGTTGTTTCCCAACTGATATTTTGTGATCTTTGACTGGTATTTTAAAACACTATGGTTAAGAGTATATAAGATTTAGCACAGGAGAACATAGAACTCTTATGCTTTACATGGAGAATTATCTATTGATTTAAGTTTAAATTTAATGTGAAAAGAAAAATACTTGAATTTTGTCGAACAGTGTAATTTATTTTTAAGATAAATTTATTTATTAAACGTTCATAATCGTTTTATTTTTAACTCTTTCCATAGGATCTGATCAAAATTCGCAATGTTTAAAATAAAACATTCAAGAAATTGTCTGCAAAAATTTCATCAGCAAATTTAAAGTGTTCAAAGAAAAAAATTTCCCAAAAAATTATTAAATTTATGTGGAAATGAATGTATAAAAATATTTAGTATTATGAGCAATTAGTAATATTGTAAAAAACATACATATGAACACATAATTGCCAATTAACGTCTTACTTTAATGATTGATAAAAAAATCATTTAATTGTTTTAAAATACTTACTGAAGCACGTAATGAAAAATAATGTATAATTAAAGTTTTATCTGTAATAATTTGTCAAGTGAAATTTTTCATTAAGAGAGTAATTAAATATAAATAAAATTCTCTTTTAAATTTTAGATCAGTTGGCAGTTCACTTTTAATTTGGGCAGCTTGTGGTATTCTATCAACTATTGGAGCTTTATGCTATGCTGAATTGGGCACTAGTATCACACGTTCAGGTGGAGATTATGCCTATTTGTTGGTGGCATTTGGTCCTCTAGTTGGATTTTTAAGATTATGGATTGCTCTGTTAATCATACGACCAACTACACAGGTATGTTTGACTTCATTTATTTGAATGTATATTTATTGAAAACAATAATTGATTATTTTTATTAAAGTGAAAAATATAATGAGAGTTGTTGCTCTTGAATATAGAGTTAAATTAATAATAATAATTAAATTGTACAGATGTTTTAATATTTTTACACACGCACAAACGTATACATGTCTAAATTGACATTAAAGCCATTGACATTGTTTTAAAAAGTCAGGGTTAGGAATGTGACATTTTACATGCGACACTGTGTTAATTTGTAAACTATTTAAAAGACAATAGCTTCAAATTGAAAGTGTCAACAATATGAATAATGTGATTTTAATTAAAGTTTTTTCTATTTTGTTTTTTATTATCTTTTAGACAATTGTTGCCTTAACATTTGCACAGTATGCGGCGAAACCATTTTTCGAAGATTGCAATCCTCCAGATAATGCCGTTAAATTATTGGCTGCAGTTTGTTTATGTAAGTGTGTTAATTTAAATACTTGAAATGTTTATTTTACTTTACAAGCAATCATATTTACATGCATACATATGTACATTAGGGTGGACCCGTTTTTCGGAAAACTTGTTAATTTTCAAATGTTTCCATAGAACATCAGCAACTTCCACTTTGGCGCTACTCTAATGTACATATATATATCAAATAGATAATGATTTATTACGTCTATACACATTTTATCCGGTAGTGTAGACATAAATATTTAGTTGATACTTTTATACACTTATGTAACTATTTTTCGCCTAACGGGCGGGCATACATGCTGCGGATATTAATGAATTTGTACTGGTTTTTATAACGTCAAAAATAATAGATAACTTTGGAAATTTGTTGGGTTTTTACTTTCCAAAGGCGAATAATATTACTTACTCCTCTTTTGGGTTTTTGATAGGCTCTAAATTCTTAGATAAGTCTAAAAACATCATTCCTGGGACTTCAAAACCTGTTTGAAAGGTCGTTCTCCAGAGAGACAGTCATTTGATGCAACAATTTCAGAGCACTTGCAACAGAAGATCGGTTAACATTGGATGGCATAACGACTTTAATGTCGCTGCTAAAGCGTCGGAAGTTCATCCGGATATTTCGGGAAAGAGAATTCCGCATCAGAATTTTATTTTTTAGGTTACTAGAGACGTAACCGGAAGACCGAAGTACGAATCCATCAAATAAGCCGAGACTTTGTTCTTACTCACAGTGACACACTGTTGTAATTCTGATATGAACAGAGTTTATAGTACTCTGAACATATCTGGACAAGTAAGAAAAATTCAATGGTATCATTTGTATATGATACCTTTCATCCATTATCATTCAACCCAGCGCACTTCTCATTCATCCGACACACTGATAAGAGAAAAACATACGACACACTTATTCTAAGTAAACGGGTGGGAGAGGCCCGCATTCCACACATTCATCCTGTACCATATACAATAAACACCAACACATTTCCAACGCTTAGTCCCACAGTCACTCCTCTGTGAGGTATCTGTTGTTCTCGGCAACTGCACCGAACTTTACCTTACATCAGTCTTTTAACCGCCACTTATTCTTCCCACGAATTTGGTTTAAACCACAGACACTACGTGGATCCCGAATGAACCTCAACCAACTGACCAGCCAGGCCATAGTCCTGCGGGCAACTGGCCACCCGTACCAGATTATGTGGTTCTCTGGTTAGACCCCATGTCAAATCATACCAAGGACTAGCCGAGGAGTGAAGTAACATCAGTAGTTTATAGTCCCGGCAGACTAGAGGTAATACCTCTTTTCCCCCGGATTGCAATACACCAAGATGCGGATCTATCATCAAGGAAACATGCTCGGGGGTAATGTTTTTAGATGATCTACATTCTTCATCTTGACGAACCCTGTTACGATTTGGAGTGCATTACTTTGGTCCGTTTATGGACCTCGCCATTGAGTGTTGCTGAGGAAAAAGGTCTATACTGGTAATGCATAATTGAGAGGAGGTCGATCTTTGTACGTCGTTACAATCGTCTGTTTGTTTTTGTTACAAGAGGCGCCATCTTCTTCATCTTGATATAACCAACCGGTTACTATTCGGAGTGTATTATTTTGTAGGACTTTTAGACCTCACCATTGGTTGTCGCTGAGAGAAAAGGTCTATACAGGGGTTGTATAATTGAGAAAAGGGCAACTAATAGCTTTGTACGTCGCTACAATTTTTCTGTTTTTTTATGCCTAAAAGGTGCCAACTAACGCTTTAAGGACCTTGTTTCTATATCTCATCTTTTGGTTGTCGAAGTTTCATTTGTTAATTGTTGTTTGATAAAACCAGTAAGACAACGTCTCAATAGTTGGTGTCAGGGATGGCAAATAGAATTTTCAAATTGTACAAAACAGTATAGATTAGTCAATAAACAAGTCCTTTTAATCAACAGACTAGTCCATAAAATACGCAATACAAAGTGGACAGACTAGACAATAGATTAATATATAGACTAGTCTATAAACTAGACAATAAAATATTCTATAAACTAGACAATAGACTAGTCTACAGATTAAACAATAGATTAGTCTACAGACTAGACAATAGACTAGTCTACATACTAGATATATTAGAATATATTATCTATAGACTACACAATAGACTAGTCTAAATACTAGACAATGCAATAGTCCGTAAACTAGTCCAAAAACTAATTAATGGATTAAACCCTAGATTAGTTAATATACTGGGCCATAGGAAAATTATACTAGCCGCTAATGACTAGATAATAGTCTTGTAAAAAGTACTTTAAATAGACATGGCAACATTGTTCCATCGTGATTTAGTAGTGCTGTGATCTCTTCAAAAAATGTGCTTTTGTCGCATTACAAAAACGTGATTTTATTTGTGTTCAAAAAAGGTATTTCAATTGTTTCTGTGTTGTTTTTATAAATAACATTTATTAAATTAATAAATAAAAATAATTTAAATAATCCGGACAATATTAATATGTATGTTACTAGGTTTTATTGCACTAAGGAGAATTTCTTAAAATTGTGCTAGTTTTATAACAGATTTACATATGTATATATACCAGACATGGCTTAATAAGGAAATGATTTCGATTGGTATACATTAAGCTGGATGTAGGACCATTATTTTGGAGTATAACAAACAAGAGCCCAAATGCATTAGATCCTCCCTTTTGTAGTGTTATGGCGTATAATATTGATTTGTTCGATTCGAAAGCAAATTCACTCTGAACCCGAGTTTAAAATAAAATAGTTATCTTTGCCCAACCCTATAGTTTCTCAAAACTTAATTTTAACATTAGAATTTTGAATAGAAAAAAAAATAAACTGATAACGTTAAAAATAGACTTGATAGTTTAACTTGTAATATTTTAATTGTTTAAAACAAATATTTATTTAAAATGCAATACATTATTTTTTCTATTTTTTTTATTTCAAAACACTTACAGGTTTCTTAACGGCCATTAATTGTTTATCGGTAAAATGGTCTATGAAGGTGCAAGATATTTTCACTGCTGGAAAGCTGTTAGCTTTAGTTATGATCATTTTAGCTGGTATCTATCAAATGTGTTTGGGTCATACTGAGAATTTCGAAAATATCTGGGAGGGCAAGTATGGCATAGAAAATATTGGCTTTGCTTTCTATTCGGGACTATTTGCCTTTGGTGGTTGGAATTATTTGAATTTTGTAACCGAAGAATTGCAGGATCCTTACAAGTAAGTATAAATTTTAAAGTTATTTAAGATAACCTATATTTTTTACAGAATTGTATTCTTATATATAACTACTTGTTGCTTTCTAACTTTAACCAACCCACCCCCTGTCCTTGTCTTACACAATTTAGCTTTTTTCATTTATGCTTAAGTGGTTTCATTGTATAAGAAAAATCAAAAGCAGCGTAAAGTTTGCAAAGTCAGCTAACGACGTCATGGTATATTTATTTAAAACGAAGAAGAAAGCAAATCACATCAAGGACATTCATAAGGATTCCTTTTTTTTAATACAAAACGTACAAAATTCTACAACTTGTTGATTTTGTAAATGGTTTTCGGTATACATACTTACAAACATTCATACATATTTATTTACTTTGTAAACTCTTATAGAAGTTTAACTGTAACTTGTATGTTGTTTTTAGTTACTTTTACTCTTTCGTCCTTTCTCTCCTTCTCTTGAGATAGTCCTCTAAGGGGAATAGACATATGAACAATAGGGTGTTTTTTTCCTAATTTTTATTTTGAATGAAATTTTTATTTTGAAAGAGTGGGTATCGAATTTTTATGACATTAAATATTACTGATTGCTCTCAACCAAAAATTAGGTTAGGTTAATGAAGGCGACTTACTTGTAATTACCCTATGTTTATATTTTTAATAGAAAAAGTCGCCCGAAAAACTAATGAATATATTTCCATAAAAATTTCATCCTGAAAATAAGGCCCACCAGTTTGTCACACAAAAATATCTGCACGTTAAACAATTGAGGCAATAAGTCCAAAAGAATAAATTACATTTCTTTTGAATGTATTTTGTAGCTTTGTATTGTTGAAAGAACAAATAATTCTTTAAATACTCTGCTGTTTAGTTATTTTATGTATTTTATAGGGATTTTGTCTCGCATACTTTACAGTCATGTGTAAATAAGTATAAATTTATACCGTATTTATACCCTACACCACTTTAGTGGGGAGGGAATATTGGGTTTGTGCTGATGTTTGTAACGCACAATAATATTGGCCCTATACCCACCTTAAAGTATACTAATCGGTATAATAAATAGAATCATTTTCTGAATCGATTTAGCTATGTAAACCTTGTAATCAAACTACAGGTCGCAATTTTGAAGATAATTCAATGAAATTTGGCACATGACCTTCTATTGTTACAGGGACGAAGTCTATTGAAAATGGTTAAGATCGGTCCATTACTTCACCTAGCCCCCATACAACTGAACCTCCGAATAGGGCTTGTAAACCTTGTAATAAAACTACAGGCACACGATCTTCTATAGTATCGGTGACGAAGCCTATTGAAAATGGTTTACATCGGTCCATTATTTCACCTAGCCCCCATACAACTGAACCCCCGAATAGGGCTTGTAAACCTTGTAATCGAACTACAGGTCGCAATTTTGAAGATAATTCAATGAAATTTGGCACATGATCTTCTATGTTACCGGAGACGAATTCTATTGAAAATGGTTAACATCGGTCCATTATTTCACCTAGCCCTCATACAACTGAACAATCTCGACAAAAAGCTGCAAAATCAAGTTCTATACTAGCCTTTATGATTCTCATGAATTTTATAATTATAGGGTCTCATTTGACCATAGCCCCTATATAAAGCCCACTTCAATATTTGACTTAAATATCCACAATTTTATTCAACAATAAATGGCTTAAGTACATCTGAGGCAAGGTACAATTCAACTTATATGCTTTATTATGAAAACTAAATCACATTTTAATTTTGTAACAGGTATAGGGTATTATATGGTCGGCTACGCCCGACTATAATTTCTTACTAGTTTTTTCTTGTTTTATGTATTAAATTAAACATTTGTAATACAATACAAAATAAATAAATCTCTAAATCATTTAGATTTATTGATATCACTTTTCAAATTAATTGATTGTTAAAATATGTTAAAAGGTTTTCTTATTTTAACTCGGAATATAATTTCAATGTTTAATTCAAAGAATCACGTTTAATCATAAAATCATTTGAGAGTTATTCAAAAAAGGACTTATATTACTTTAAGGGAGATAACTTCATCATTTTCAATAGTTAGGCCAGGTGAAAAGGAGGATGTATACTCCCTTAGATCCGAAGAAATACAACTAGGCATCGAACCTGTTGTGCGCTCCATACATGGAATATCTTAAGTTCAATTTTGGGAAGGTATTATTTTACGGTGTTCAGAAACTCAGTTTTCTGAAAGTAGTTTCTTAGAATTTCCCAATCAGTGTTCCTGAGGGATGTAATATCTGGAATAACATCGCTCCTAAGATAATAGGATCTAAATTTATCATACTAACATCAGACTTGCTCATTTTAAGGAGACTTCTGGTTCTGCTTTTGTTAGTTTCACCCCATAGGACCTTTGAGGTGTTACCCATCATTATTCCAAGTGGTTGTAACGGATTCTCTCAACCAAGTTTTTAATTTAACCCTCTTTGCTCCGAACTGTTTTCCATTCGTCCGGTTAACTTCCTTGAGTTTCATTCTCTTTATAGCAAGTTCATTTGCAGCCAATTATTCTCGAATTGCCTGGCACCCATAGAGCTTACCTCTGGAAGAGTATTTGGTCAAGGTTCTCTCAAAGTTCAATGCGGTATTGGATGTAGCATCATCACTTGATATCGCCTTAATATCCTTTTGACTAATGATTCGTCTGAACTGGTTCTGTGCAACGAGGCTAAAAGCTTCCGGTTGCTGGAAATCAAGAACATATGGCCACGCAAATAGCCTACTGCCCTCGGCCGTGAACCCAACACTCGGTCTTTGATAGATTTACACTGGTTATAAATGAACTGCGCTGTTGGCTCTGGTATTTTCTGTGACGAAATATGAATTTTTCAACAACTTTCACCGCATGAATGAAAAACATACTGCGGAAAACAATGATGGAGCAATAGTCTCAACGCTTACTAGTACCGCATAGACCGTGCCGTCTGCAATATATGCCCAGCATGTCGTCAGGATCTCCATGATACCCACCACATATTCAACTGTCCAAATCACACTACTTCACTTAATCCAATGTATTTGTATCCAGTAGAAATAGCACAATTTTTTTGCTTGAACCTTCATACAGAACCCTCGAACCCAGAACAATTAAAATTGTATAGTTAAAGCTTTTACAGCAACAACGATATATCGGACGAGAGGAGTGGACTTATATAAATCGAGTCCTTACAATTATACCTAACAGTTTACGCGCAAGAAACTATCACATTAACTAACCAACATTGGAATCACAACAATGTTCCAATTAGCACAACTAATGACCAAGAATCTGATTTAGTTCTGTTTGCAGCCGTTCTAGATGTAGTTAACATTTTTCTTGGAAATGGTTATTTAGTTATCAAATTTCTTATTTATATCTTACAGAAATCTACCTCGTGCTATCTGGATTGCCATGCCCCTGGTGACGGGTATTTATGTACTCGTAAATCTGGCCTATTTTGTTGTAGTCTCTAAGACTGAAATGTTAAGTTCTCTAGCGGTGGCGGTAACATTTGGTAATCGTATGTTTGGTTCACTGGCATTCATGGTACCGATATTTGTGGCTTTAAGTACTTTTGGCGGCGTTAATGGTGTGTTGTTTACATCGGCCCGTTTATTTGCCACTGGTGCTCAAGAGGGACATTTGCCCAAATTCTTTCAACTTTTTCACGTTAAACAACAAACTCCCATACCATCATTGATATTTTCGGTAAAATGCTTATTTGTTTTAATATAAATTCTAGAATAGAAATAATTTTTTATGCCAAAATTATAATTTCAGTGTCTGATGTCTATATTGATGTTATTATCGGCCGATGTTTATGCTTTAATCAACTATTTCAGTTCCATTTTATGGCTATCGGTGGTGGCCAGTATTGCGGGCATGTTGTGGTTAAGAAAAAAGAGGTATGTTATTAAATACATTATGGAAAAATCAATAATTATCTTTTATTTTAAGGCCTGATATACCTCGACCTATAAGAGTCCATACCGCTTTACCGATAATTTTCATAATTTGCTGTATAGTACTGGTGCTAATGCCTAGTTTAACACAACCCATGAATCTTTTGGTTGGCATTGCCATTACTTTAGCGGGAGTGCCTTTCTATTATTTGTGCATTGCCTGGAAGGATAAACCCAAATATTATGGCCGCATATCTTATGCTATAGTAAATGTATGCCGGGCTCTTTTTAACACCAGCATAATTGAAGCAAATAATGATGTGAAAAATTAAATCAGGACTAATTTCAGCTAAAAAAATATTAAAAATAAAATCCTCAATGTCACTTGTGCATGTGTGTGTTTGACCCCCCTTCTCATTGAAAATTATAACAGAAATACTTTAAAATCTAATCGAATATTTGTAGCGTTTGTTGTGACATTGACACTAGTATTTTGTGTACAAAACTTATAAACATTCATAAGTGTCCCTCGCTTAACTTGATATTATTTTGTATGTGTTTTTGTACTTAAATTTAAGTTTAAAAAAAAGTATTTCTTTGCCTTTGAATCTAATGCGTTTGTATTTAAAATAGATATTTAAGACACATTAAGATACTCTTTAGTACAATTTCTTATTTAATTCCATTTAATTTATTTTAATGTTAAAAAATTATAAAGATTTCAAATCGTATGCTTGTAAAATGATGTTTATATAATTTATTATTCATGCTTGCATTTAAAACAACGACCGTATTAGGGAAACTTTGTCTTACAAAAAAAAATCAATAAATATTTTAAATTAATAAAAAATTATAACAAAAGCTCGACTTTTTTCTAACAATTAAGTTATGGCAGCAATTCTTTAATGGATAATTTTTGCCTGTCACTCTCAAAACTAGTTCTAGGAATATTGGCTCATTTTTATTTAGAAAACTTACTTACAATATCTTTGGAAAAATCAGTGATATTTTGAAATAATTTGAAACACAATTTTGTAACATCTGTACCGATGTTAATGTTAATTTTGTAACATCTGTACCGATATATGTATTTCATAAGTTAATTAGTTAGTTAATTAGTTAGTTAGTTAGTTAGTTAGTTAGTTAGTTAGTTAGTTAGTTAGTTAGTTAGTTAGTTAGTTTAGTTAGTAGTTAGTTAGTAGTTAGTTAGTTAGTTAGTTAGTTAGTAGTTAGTTAGTTAGTTAGTTAGTAGTTAGTTAGTTAGTTAGTTAGTTAGTTAGTTAGTTAGTTACAATAACGATGATGAGGGAACGGTCGAACACTAGTTAGTTAGTTAGTTAGTTAGTAGTTAGTTAGTAGTTAGTTAGTTAGTAGTTAGTTAGTTAGTAGTTAGTTAGTTAGTTAGTTAGTTAGTTAGTTACAATAACGATGATGAGGGAACGGTCGAACACTAGTTAGTTAGTTAGTTAGTTAGTTAGTTAATAGTTAGTTAGTTAGTAGTTAGTTAGTTAGTTAGTTAGTTAGTTAGTAGTTAGTTAGTAGTTAGTGTAGTTAGTTAGTTATTAGTTAGTAGTTAGTTAGTTATTTAGTTAGTTAGTTAGTTAGTTAGTTAGTTAGTTAGTTAGTTAGTTAGTTAGTTAGTTAGTTAGTTAGTTAGTTAGTTAGTTAGGTTAGTTAGTTAGTTAGTAGTTAGTTAGTTAGTTAGTTAGTTAGTTAGTTAGTTAGTAGTTAGTAGTTAGTTAGTAGTTAGTAGTTAGTTAGTTAGTTAGTTAGTTAGTTAGTTAGGTAGTTAGTAGTTAGTTAGTTAGTTAGTAGTTAGTTAGTTAGTTAGTTAGTTAGTTAGCTTAGTTAGTAGTTAGTTAGTAGTTAGTTAGTAGTTAGTTAGTTAGTTAGTTAGTTAGTTAGTTAGTAGTTAGTTAGTTAGTTAGTTAGTTAGTTAGTAGTTAGTTAGTTAGTTAGTTAGTTAGTTAGTTAGTTAGTTAGTAGTAGTTAGTTAGTTAGTTAGTAGTTAGTTAGTTAGTAGTTAGTTAGTTAGTTAGTTAGTTAGTTAGTTAGTAGTAGTTAGTTAGTTAGTTAGTTAGTTAGTTAGTTAGTTAGTTAGTTAGTTAGTTAGTTAGTTAGTTAGTTAGTTAGTTAGTTAGTTAGTTAGTTAGTAGTTAGTTAGTTAGTTAGTTAGTTAGTTAGTTAGTTAGTTAGTTAGTTAGTTAGTTAGTTAGTTAGTTAGTTAGTTAGTTAGTTAGTTAGTTAGTTAGTTAGTTAGTTAGTTAGTTAGTTAGTTAGTTAGTAGTTAGTTAGTTAGTTAGTTAGTTAGTAGTTAGTTAGTTAGTTAGTTAGTTAGTTAGTTAGTTAGTTAGTTAGTTAGTTAGTTAGTTAGTTAGTTAGTTAGTTAGTTAGTTAGTTAGTTAGTTAGTTAGTTAGTTAGTTAGTTAGTTAGTTAGTTAGTTAGTAGTTAGTTAGTTAGTTAGTTAGTTAGTTAGTTAGTTAGTTAGTTAGTTAGTTAGTTAGTTAGTTAGTTAGTTAGTTAGTTAGTTAGTTAGTTAGTTAGTTAGTTAGTTAGTTAGTTAGTTAGTTAGTTAGTTAGTTAGTTAGTTAGTTAGTTAGTTAGTTAGTTAGTTAGTTAGTTAGTTAGTTAGTTAGTTAGTTAGTTAGTTAGTTAGTTAGTTAGTTAGTTAGTTAGTTAGTTAGTTAGTTGTTAGTAGTTAGTTAGTTAGTTAGTTAGTAGTAGTTAGTTAGTTAGTAGTTAGTTAGTTAGTTAGTTAGTTAGTTAGTTAGTTAGTTAGTTAGTTAGTTAGTTAGTTAGTTAGTTAGTTAGTAGTTAGTTAGTTAGTTAGTTAGTTAGTTAGTTAGTTAGTTAGTTAGTTAGTTAGTTAGTTAGTAGTTAGTTAGTTAGTTAGTTAGTTAGTAGTAGTTAGTTAGTTAGTTAGTAGTTAGTTAGTTAGTTAGTTAGTTAGTTAGTTAGTTAGTTAGTAGTTAGTTAGTTAGTTAGTTAGTTAGTTAGTTAGTTAGTTAGTTAGTTAGTTAGTTAGTTAGTTAGTTAGTTAGTTAGTTAGTTAGTTAGTTAGTTAGTTAGTTAGTTAGTTAGTTAGTTAGTTAGTTAGTTAGTTAGTTAGTTAGTTAGTTAGTTAGTTAGTTAGTTAGTTAGTAGTTAGTTAGTTAGTTAGTTAGTTAGTTAGTTAGTTAGTTAGTTAGTTAGTTAGTTAGTAGTTAGTTAGTTAGTTAGTTAGTTAGTAGTTAGTTAGTTAGTTAGTTAGTTAGTTAGTTAGTTAGTTAGTTAGTAGTTAGTTAGTTAGTTAGTTAGTTAGTTAGTTAGTTAGTTAGTTAGTTAGTTAGTAGTTAGTTAGTAGTAGTTAGTTAGTTAGTAGTTAGTAGTTAGTTAGTAGTTAGTTAGTTAGTTAGTTAGTTAGTTAGTTAGTTAGTAGTTAGTTAGTTAGTTAGTTAGTTAGTTAGTAGTAGTTAGTTAGTTAGTTAGTTAGTTAGTTAGTTAGTTAGTTAGTTAGTTAGTTAGTTAGTTAGTTAGTTAGTTAGTTAGTTAGTTAGTTAGTAGTTAGTTAGTTAGTTAGTTAGTTAGTTAGTTAGTTAGTTAGTAGTTAGTTAGTAGTTAGTTAGTTAGTTAGTTAGTAGTTAGTAGTAGTTAGTTAGTTAGTTAGTTAGTTAGTTAGTTAGTTAGTTAGTTAGTTAGTTAGTTAGTTAGTTAGTAGTTAGTTAGTTAGTTAGTTAGTTAGTTAGTTAGTTAGTTAGTTAGTTAGTAGTTAGTTAGTTAGTTAGTTAGTAGTTAGTTAGTTAGTAGTTAGTTAGTTAGTTAGTTAGTTAGTTAGTTAGTTAGTTAGTTAGTTAGTTAGTTAGTTAGTTAGTTAGTTAGTAGTTAGTTAGTTAGTTAGTTAGTTAGTTAGTTAGTTAGTTAGTTAGTTAGTTAGTTCGTTAGTTAGTTAGTTAGTTAGTTAGTAGTTAGTTAGTTAGTTAGTAGTTAGTTAGTTAGTTAGTTAGTTAGTAGTTAGTTAGTTAGTAGTTAGTTAGTTAGTTAGTTAGTAGTTAGTTAGTTAGTTAGTTAGTTAGTTAGTTAGTTAGTTAGTTAGTTAGTTAGTTAGTTAGTAGTTAGTTAGTTAGTTAGTTAGTTAGTTAGTTAGTTAGTTAGTTAGTTAGTTAGTTAGTTAGTTAGTTAGTTAGTTAGTTAGTTAGTTAGTTAGTTAGTTAGTTAGTTAGTTAGTTAGTAGTTAGTTAGTTAGTTAGTTAGTTAGTTAGTTAGTTAGTTACAATAACGATGATGAGGGAACGGTCGAACACTACCTTTGTCTTAGTTGGCTAATATTGACGTGCGTTTATTCATTTCACTCTTGTCCAAATAGTAGGTCCAGGTATGCACCCAACCTAACTTCACACAATATTTCAGAAGTTACAAAAACAACATGTGTGGTACCCACTGAAAACCCCGATATTAAATAAAGAATGAAATAGCCTCTAAATAATATTGTTTAGTTTAGTAGAATTTTGATATCAAGTACTCACTAATGTTGGCCAGTACACATCATCTCTGCAAGAAATAACTATATAGAACTATTTCGATAATCTCAAGTTTCTTTAAGATAAAAATTAATAAATAAAATTTTACTTTTTTCTACTAGAGTTCAATAAAAGAAAAACGTTTTTTTTTATTTTTAATAAACAGTTTCGTTATAATATATCCCACTGTGCTGCATTAGAATTAATTACCAGATTTTATGATAGAATTTAGTGAAACGCTTTGAAAAAAAAAAATAGCTCTCAGTTGAGTACTGATTAATTACTTTTTTTAATATTTAAATGATAGTAACATAATTAAACAAAAAATTATAATGTAGTTGAAAACAAAGTTTTTTTTATTTTCTAATGATCTATATAATTTGCCGTTCGTTTATAAATTGATCCAACACTATTACTCTTCTAATACTCCCCTGCTTTATAGCGCATTTTTATAGAATTATTAATTACAAACGCCCTCTAATCAAATTATTTATGGTACATTTTTCAAACCAATTATACAAAGTATTCAAATCGAAATAGATGTTATTATTCTTGCCCTTCGTTGAACGAACAATTTTCGAATTTTTATTGAAAATGTTTGAAACTTATATAAGGCTTGGATAAAATCTGTTTAAAAATATTACTTTTAAATCCTTTAATGCATATTTAATTAAATGTTTTACATATTTTATTTTAAGAGCATATCTTGATTTCTATCTAATTTATCAATTCCATAGTCTAGTCAATAGTATCGTCACTAGTCTATTTAATAGATCTAGTCAACAATATAGTCAATGGACTAATCAATAGACTAGTCAAAAGTCTAGTCAATATACTGATTAATATGCTAGTCAACAGTCCAGCCAATAGATTAGTCAATAGTATAGTCCATAGACTAGTCAAGTCAATAGAGTGGATATTAGACTACTCAATATCCTAGACAATAGTCTATTAAATGGGCTAACCAAAAGTCAATACGATACTCTAGCCAATAGACCTGTCAACAGTCAAAAGACTAATTAATAGTCTAGTCAATATATTAGTCAATAATCTAGCAAATAGACAAGTCAATAGACTGGATAATAAAATAATCAATATTCTAGGCAAAAGTATAGTCCATAGACCAGTCAATAGTCTAGTTAATAGTCCAGTCATAAGACTGGTTATTAGACTACTCAATAGTGTAGAAAATAGTCTAGTTAATGGACTAGTCAAAAGTCTGTTCGATAGTCTAGCAATATACTAGTCAGTAATCCAGTAAATAGTCCACAAACTAGTTTAGAGACTAGACTAATGTCTATATTACTAACTAGTCTATTGATTAGACTGCTGATTAGTCTAGTCAATA